ATCAATGTTTCTAACTCTCTATCCCTCTCCCTTCCTCTCTGTAGAAAATCAATTAAAAATATATTTTTTTAAAAAGAAGGTAAAAACGGAAAAATCGCTCTGATTTTTTCTGACTTGCTAGTAGGTTCTATTTTCCCCTTCCTATACCTGATAAATCCATTGATTGACAACTGATTTGGCATCTCCTCCCCAGAAATCATTGGCAAAGCTGCCTTTCACCTCCTTGCTTCCCCAGAAGATACAGAGGAATTTTTCCTGCTCCAGGTTTGGGTCTGCAGAGACCTGGGTCAGGAAAAGCAGTAACCACCAAGGGGAAGGCCTGTTGGTCAGCATGGGGCAAAGGTGAGGAGGACCGAGCCTGAGCCTGAAGCGGAGGGTAAATATTTGTTAATGTTACGTCCTCAGTGTTTTCAGGGGAGTCATCATTTGTGGCTGGGGTGAAAGAGAAAGTGGGATGTAGAAGACGGGCATTCCAGTTAGGGAAGCACCGAGGCAAAGGACGTGCTTGTATGATCTCGTTCCTCTGGCTTATTTCTTGAGCAGGTGAGGATCGTTCAAAGCCTGGGAGGGCGGGAGTGAAGCTATGTTGAGGATAACAAGTTTCCAAGGGCTAAGACTTCTAGCTCTGACCAGTCTTGGTGTCTCTTCATCTTAAGCCTTTACCTACTTCCCAACCTGACCATCGCTTCTTTCCAGCAGGCCTTTTTCTGCTGACCCACCATGACTCAGGCGGTGCTGCTTCTTTGCTGTATCTCGCTATCCCCAGCGGCTGCCTTTCTAAGAAATGTCCAGAAAGGGGCTCTGACCTCCCAGCTGTGTTTCACAGAACCTGGGCATCCTTCTAACATGCTCTCTAACCAGATCCCAAGACCTGCCAGGATCTCTTGGACACAGCCCCTCTCCTTAGCCCCTCTGCCTATGTACCTATCCACTTGGCTCTGGAGGTGGCCCAGGAGGAGGCTGGCTGCTCAACTGAGGCCCACACTCTGCAGCCTCAGCTTGTTAGTGTGAAAGGAAAGGACCGCTGAAACCCTCATTCCTGAGAGTAAGAAGCACAATGAGGAAGAAGGCATTGGCAATGGTAAGGTCATTCTGTGGGGATGAATCTAACACTCAGATTATCGCCCTGAGGAATGTATTAACTACACCCACTGGGATGGCTGGCCTAGCAGTTCAAATGGTAATTGAGTTTGCCCCAAGTTAAGAAGAGCCTCTTAGTGTCTATGGACGATGACAATGTAATTTATCAAATGTTCAATTATTCTGAGGTGCTTTATGGGGAAATTGATGCCAGCGTTTGTCCAGGTTTACTTCCGGTATTCAGTGCCACTTCGGTGATAAGTCTCCTTTACCAGAACTGTGTTCAAGGATGGGATATGGTAAGGAGTTAGAAGTTTTGGAGAGCAATTAGGACAAAAGTATTCTCTCTATCCCAGTGCTAACACACATGTGTGGGTGGTCTTAGCCTTGCCCCTCTCCATTTAGTAGCTACCTCTGAGTCTCTATTTCTTAATCCATTTCCTTCTTTCAGCTATCATATACTGGGCATATAATGCGTTTTAAGCATGAATGGTACTTTAACCTTTTTTCATTCACTTACCTTATACCAAAACCTCAACTAGATGCTGTTGTAGCTTGTTAATTGAATTTTTAAACGGAAAAGAAATTTTAAAAAGAGCAAATAGTAGATATATATCTAATTTCTGATTCTGGGTCTCCTGGTGTCTCTCATGAGCTAGAGTGGGAACATGGCAGGGAACTGTAGAAAATGCCAAAGCCCCAAGCCGTTTGGCTTAATGGATAGAGCGTTGGCCTGTGGACTGAAAGGTCCCGGGTTTGATTCCGGTCAAGGGCACATGCCCGGGTTGGGGGCTTAATCTGCAGTATGGGGTGTGGAGGAGGCAGCCAATCAATGACTCTCTTTCATAATTTATGTTTCTATCTCGTTCTCTCCCTCTCCCTCTCTGAAATCAATAAAAAAATACATTTTTTTAAAAAAGATAAAGTTTAAAAAAGAAAGAAAATGCAAAAGAACAAAGTCTTAGGTATTGAGGTAAAGTGTGCAACAAGGGGCAAGGTCTGAGCACCAGTACCAATGAACAAATATTTGCAGAGATTACATCTCTTACTGATCATAGGGGATAGCAAATATGTCCATTATTCATGGGACAGAGAAGTGGGCAGCACTGAATCGAGCAGCTACCCACCTGTCAAGGTAGTCTCACTTCTCAGTGCCTGGACTGTGAAGTAATTTGGGGGCCCCCTATAAATGGGTGGAAATAAAGCAGAGGAAATCCCTGATAACCTAGAGAGAAGGCCCAGTGCAAACAATTGAGTTGCATTTCCTGTTTCCTAGGCCTTAGCCTAAAAAGAACAGAAGCTTGGGGATCCTTTCCCCCTCCTCACGTGGGAGTCTACTTGTTCTTCAATAAATCTCCACCTTTGCTATAAAAGAAAAAAAAAACACACACAAAAAAACAGGAGCTTAAAGTAGTTGGAGAAGGTATGCCCTGAGTCCTGGGAACTTACAGACCACATCTCAGGGGAGCTGTGTTTCTGGTTTTTCCCTCTCCAGTGTACTCTGGCCCAGACATGCGTGGCCTCAGACTCATCATACCACTGGAGCTGCTGCTTTGTTGCTACCTCCTGCTGCACCCTGTGGATGCCATTTCATATGGAAACCAGACAAATATCCTGATGCACCTTCCCTCATCCTTGGAATCCTGGCCACCCTCCTCAGGCCCCTTGCCCTGCCAGACCCTGCTCCCAAAGTCCCTGCCTGGCTTTGCCCATATGGCCCCTCTACCCAAGTTTCTGGTAGGCCTGTCACTGATGATGGCCCTGAAGGAAGCTGGCTGCCATGCTGATGCACAGGCCCTGCAGCTTCAGCTCTACCGCCAGGGGGGTATACATGCTACACAGATCCTCACCCGACATCTTCAACGGCTGGAGAAAGGCAGAAACACCGAGAGGGGCGTGTCAGTGGATGCCCTGGCCTCTGCCCTGCGGCTGTTGGCCCGGGGACAGCCAGGCCCAGAAAGGGCCCGGCGCTCCACCATCCAGGACTGCGACTTTGAACAGGAGCAGGATGTGCACAGTATAGTCCAGTGGTTGCCAACAGTGAGAACCTACTACAACCTGGGCACAGCTTTGTATTATGCTACTCAGGACTGTTTGGACAAGGCCAAGGAACGAGGCCAAGATGGGATCATAGACCTGGGTTATGACCTTTTAATGACCATGGTTGGACTGGGAGGGGGGCCCATGGGACTAGTGATCGGCACTGCACTTAAACCTGCAGTGAAGGCTGGGGTTGAACGGTTGATCGAGTATTACCATTAGAACGAGACAGCCCGGCCTATGTGGGTCATTGGTTGAGCAGCGACCTATGAACCAGGAGATTGCAGTTCGATTCTGGCCAGGGCATGAGCCCAGATTGCAGGCTCAGCTCGATCGCCAGTGTGGGGCGTGCAGGAGGCAGTCAATCATGATTCTCTCTCATCATTGATGTTTCCATCTCTTTTTCCCTCTCCCTTCCTCTCTGAAATCAATAAAAATATATTAAAAAAAAAAAAAAGATACAAACACCTCTCCTCCAGAGACTAGCAAAGAGGGCTTGGGCAGCACCTCTATGGTGGCCCCTTTGGTGTCAGACGTAGTAAATTCAGCTCCTTACTGGGAGTGGCCCTTGTTCCAGGACTATGAATATGATCCTGAGAATGAGAGTTTTGGAATATAAAAGGTGGTAAACACAGAATAAATAAATCTAGTATTCTGACTGAGAAGGCTAACCCCTATTTTGTAAAACTACTGTTTGGAATTCTCTGCTATTCTTTAGACGGCCTCTTATTCTAAAAAAAATAATAACTTTGCTTTCTAGCCTGCTTTAGCCTGCTTGAATAATGAGGAAGATAAACTTAGCTGTCTGACCTTGTCGGCCAGAGACTAGATACGCCCATACTCTCAATGCCATGCCAGGTTCATTTTTTAATTGGATAGAACTGTCTAGTTTTCAAGGCTACCAGCGAGATACCCACTAAGCACACATAGGGCTGGCTCTTTCATAAAAAGGGAAGCTCTGCTTGTAGCTCTCCTTAGAATTTGAATTCATTTTCTCTAAGCCCACCGCGGTGAATAAAGTGTAACTCCAAACTCTCTGAGCATTGCTTCATTTATTCCGGCTCTCTGTAACATGACAAGCTGTGTGCAGAATCCAAATTTCTGATTTGTTACAGGGGAGGAAGGCAGTGCTACAAAATGTAGGCGTTTTAAAGTGTGGGGTTTGGAGGCAGAGGGTTTGGTTTTTAATCCAGGTTCCACTTGTTTGAGCCTCAATGATCACTAACTAATAACTTCTTTCTCCAAGCTCAGTTACTAAAATTTCTAAGGAGGGGGATGATGATGCCCTGACCGGTTTGGCTCAGTGGATAGAGCGTCGGCCTGTGGACTGAAGGGTCCCAGGTTCGATTTCCGTCAAAGGCATGTACCTTGGTGGCGGGCACATCCCCAGTAGGGGGTGTGCAGGAGGCAGCTGATCGATTTCTCTCTCTCTCATCGATGTTCCTAACTCTCTATCCCTCTCCCTTCCTCTCTGTAAAAGATAAAAAAATATATTAAAAAAAAAAAAGAGGGGGTGGATGATTTTCAGTTCTATGGGTTTTGTGGAAATTTTAAAAAGGAACCTAAAGCTTTTAGCACAGTACCATCAGTAAAGTTATTTTGTTATTGCTTCAGCCCTCCCCTTCCGATCCCAAAATGTTGAAATTCCGGTCCCACCCCTTCTTATGGAGCCCTAAGCGCTTCCACGGTCGCGAGCTGGTCTCATTTCCTTCTCCGCCGAGTGGGTTCTCGGAAATCAGCAGTTTCAGTCCAGGGCCATTCCATTAATTGGACTCCTCCCTCCGCAGATAGGGGGCGGGGCTTACTGGAGGTTTTCCCACCAATCGCTGGGACTGGAGGTGTGGCTTACGCGCCGCTGGTCCCGCCCCGCGGAGAGGGAGGAGCTGCGGCGGAGCCAATGAACTCACAGCCTGGGGTCTGAGGGGCGGGAGGCGCTGGTGCGGAGCTCCCGGTGGGGAAAGGAAGCCTTGACCAGAGCCACTGGCGGGAGCGGGGACTGAGACCCCCACCAGGTACGGACCCCGAGAGGGCGCGCGGGAATTGGGGGTGGAGGCGCGTGTTACCCCCCCCGGGAAGTGCGCCTGGCCCGGGAGCTATGACCCGGTGAAATAGGCGCTGTCAGGGAGCTATGACCCGGTGAGATAGGCGCTGTCAGTTACCTGCTGCAACCTGGTCACCCCCATCTTGTCAGGTCTAGGTCCCCAACTGTAGTCCCCACCCCTCCACGCCCCCAACAAACCCCCTACAACCTCCAAGACCCGGAACTTGACATTGTTGCATTGGTTTACTGCCTTGCCAACGCTTTTACCTCTGGCTTGTGATACTTTTAATTCTCATCCCCCCCCCCACACACACACACACACACACAAAAGTCAATGTCTAAGAATAGATACGATTTATCATCCTTATTTGTTATGTTAAAAGTATAATATACAGCCCTGGCCGGGTTGCTCAGTTTGTTAGAGCGTCCTCCCCATACGCCAAGGTTGCGGGTTCCATCTCCGATCGGGCACATACAAGAAGCAACCAATGAATACCTAAGTGGAACAAACATTGATGTTTCTCTTTCTCTTTTCCTAAAATCAATTTTTTAAAAAAATAGAAGCTAAAGCCCTGGCCAGTGTTCTCTGTGGTTAGAACGTCCACCCCCACATCGAAGGATTCCTGGTGAAGGGCTCATACCTGGGTTGTAGGTTGGATTCCTGGTTGGACGCCTGTGGGAGGCAACCGATGGAAGTTTCTTCTTCGCATCAATGTTTCTTTCTAGCCTTTCCTCTCGATAAAACTCAGCAAAGACATACCCGCCACCCCCAGCCCTAGCCGGTTTGGCTCAGTGGATAGAGAGTCTGCCTGCGGACTGAAGGGTCCCGGCTCCATTCCATTCTGGGTACATGTCTGGGTTGCTGGCTCGGTCCCCAGTGGGGGGCGTGCAAGAGGTAGACAGTCAGTGGTTCTTTCCCATCATTGATGTTTCTGTCTCTCTCTCCCTCTCCCTTCCTCCAGAAATCAATAAAATAAATAAAATAAAATAAAGTATCCTCCAGCCTGGCTGGAGGTCTTAGTGGTCCACCTATGAACCTGGAAGTCTTGGATGGATTCCCGGTCAGGGCACATAAGAATATATATACATATTAAAAAAGAAACATATCCTCGGGTAGGATTAAAAATAAATAAGTAAAGATAGGTGATTTTTAAAAAATATGTTTTATTGTTTTTTACAGAGAGGAAGGGAAGAGATAGAGAGTTAGAAACATCCATGAGAGAGAAACAAAGATCAGCTGCCTGCTGCACGCCCCCTACCGGGATGTGCCTGCAACCAAGGTACATGCCCTTGACGGGAATGGAACCTGGGACCTTTCAGTCTGCAGGCTGACGCTCTATCCACTCAGCCAAACTGGTTAGGGCAAGATAGGTGATTTTTTTTAAAAAGGTTTGTTTGTTTTCATATTTAAACCTCAGGGTTTGCTTGTTGCCATACTCTTTTATCCTCTTTGTTTTTTGTTTGTTTTCCTGTTGTTTCTTATACTGCCTTACTCTTTTAATAGCCAATTCGCAATTCATTCCTTGAGAACTGGAGCCTCTTCTTCTTCTTCTTTTTTTTTTAAGCAATACAGGTATACATAGTTTTAAAAGTCAAGCATTACTAAAAGGGTTAAAGTGTAAAATAAGAGCCCCTGCCCAATCCTGTCCTCCCCCTGTTCCTAATTTCTAGAGGTAGAAAGGCAGCTCATAATTGTTCATACTGGTGGAAACAATTTCTCCCGCCCTAAAATTTTTCTTTCATTTATAATAAAATCATATGACATGTTTAGACCACAGATGTGCATGTTTGTTTTTTTCTGTAAGGTTGAGGTTGCAACAAGAGTAAGTTTTCATTTCCTAAACAGACAGATGGCAGTGGGTGGGGCAAGTTAGGGAGAAAGATTTTCTGCCTAGTCTACTTGATGACAGGCAAAAAGCAGTTTTGAATGAAGTTTCTAAGTTTCTGACAAATTTGATAACCCACATGAAGACTCAGAGATCAACAAAGATCATAAAAGGTGACACAGTCTTAGGGATTGAATGACCTCTTGCACAGCTTTTCTTTTTATTTTTTAAAATATTTTTATTGATGTCATAGAGGAAGGGAGAGGGAGAGAGAGAAACATCAATGATGAGAGAGAATCATTGATCAGCTGCCTCCTGCACACCCCGCACTGGGGATCGAGCCCACAACCCAGGTATATGCTCTGACTGGGAATCCAACTGTGACCTCCCGGTTCATAGGTCAATGCTCAACCACTGAGCCACGCTGGTCGGGCCCCTTGCACAGCTTTTAGACATCTAGAATGGAGCTCTTCCTTCCTACTTGGAGAGCAGTTTATAGAGTACTAGAGGACTGGTGCACTCAGGTGTGTGTGTGGGGGTCCCTCCGCCCAGCCTGCGCCCTCTCGCAGTCTAGGAGCCCTCAGGGGATGTCCGACTGCTGGCTTAGGCCTGCTCCCCGCACTGCCTTAGCTCCCACAGCCGCCGCTGCGCTCTCCTGCCATGAGCCCAGCTTCTGGCTGAGTGGTGCTCCCCCTGTTGGAGCATACTGACCACTAGGGGGCAGATCCTGCATCGAGCGTCTGCCCCCTGGTGGTCAGTGTGTGTCATAGCGACTGGTCATTCCGCCGTTCGGTCATTTTGCATATTAGCCTTTTATTATATAGGATACTAAGAGGCCCGGTGCACAAAATTTATGCATGGGTAGGGTCCCTAGGCCTGGCTGGCAATCAGGACCCATCAGGGCCTTCCGGCTGCTGGCCAGGGCCTTCCTTCCCCAGCTGCCAGCCACCGGCCAGGGCCTTCCTTCATTCCGCACCACCCCCTAGTGTTCAGCGCATGTTATAGTAAGCAATCGAACTCCCAGTCTCCCTGTCAAACTCCCAAGGGGACACTTTGCATATCAGTCTTTTATACATATAGATTTTATCTCCAAGGAGGTTTCATCCCCTAATAAAGCTTTGGAGCGAGCAGGGATCATGCTGAAATAAATACTTATGACACACACTATCTTTAAGTGCTCTAGCATAAACAAATACAAACATTCTATATATATAAAAGCCTAAGCAGCCAGTTGACCGTTCGACCATTCGACCAGTAGCTATGATGTGCACTGACCCCCAGGGGCCAGATGCTCAATGCAGGAGCTTCCCCCTGGTGGTCAGTGCACTCCCATAGTAGGAGCACTGCTCAGCTGACCAACGGGCGCCAAACGCTGGGGTCATGGCTGGTGAGCGCGTGCTAGTATTGCCTTAGGACAGGTGTGTGGAGACCGCAGCGGAGTGGCAGCGAGCCTACCAAGCGGTGGTGGCAGTGGGCAGGCACAGCGGGGCTGGGATGAGCAGGAGCAACGCAGTGCCCGGCCAGGGCTCATACTCCTCCCCAGCCTCCTGCCACTTCGGCACTACTACATCCCTTGGGGGATGTAGGACTGCTGGTTTCAGCTGATCCCCATAGGCCTGGCCAAGGGACCCCACTGGGGCATGAATCCGTGCACCGGGCCTCTAGTAAATTTATAATAAACTAGAAGTCCAGTGCACAAATTCATGCACTGGTCGGGACCCTCAGCCTGGTCTGTAATCTTGGCCGATCAGGGCCGGCTGGCCATGGGAAGTTGCCTGTGGGAGCATACTGACCACCAGGGGGCAGCTCCTGCGTTGAGTGTCTGCCTCCTGGTAGTCAGTGCATCATCGTAGCAACTGGTTGACCAGTCGAACAGTTGACTGGTCATAATGGTTGCTTAGTCTTTTATATAGATAGATGTATTGGGGGAGATAGATTTTACAAATGGTAGAAACATCATTAATGTTTGTTGAAGATGAAGGATTGGTACATGGATGATCCTTGTACTATTCACTCTATTTCGGTGTGTGTTTGAAAACTACCATTAAAACAAAAAGGAGCCGAAACTGGTTTGGCTCAGTGGATAGAGTGTCAGCCTGTGGACTGAAAGGTCCCAGGTTCGATTCCAGTCAAGGGCATGTACCTGGGTTGCGGGCACTTCCCCAGTGGGGAATGTGCAGGAGGCAGCTGATCGATGTTTCTCTCTCATCGATGTTTCTAACTCTCTATCTCTCTCCCTTCCTCTCTGTAAAAAATCAATAAAATATATTTAAAAAAAAAAAAAGGAGCTCTTAAATGGTACTCCCTGGAAGAATATGTACCAAACTAATAATATTGGTTTCTGGGGAAGACGGGAAGAGACCAAGATTGGGAGTGGGGTCTATGTCTCTCTCCCCATCCCTTCCTCTCTGAAATCAATAGACACCCCCCCTTTTTTTTTTCTTACCTGTATAATTAAAGACATTTTTAATATGTAATAATAAAGTATCATGACACTGTGGGTGATTTAGTCCAGCAAACTTTACAATTGGGAACCTAAATCCTTCAGACTCAGATCCCAAATGGCGCAGTGGGAGATGCTGCAGAATCTCGACAGCCGATTTCAGGATCAGCTGCACCAGCTCTACACAAATAGCCTCCTGCCGGTGGACATTCGACAGTACTTGGCTGTTTGGATTGAAGACCAGAACTGGTGAGGCTCTCAGAAAGCTGGGTGGTGGGGAATGAGGAAAATGGGTTCTTTTTTTCTGAGGATCCTGTAGACACCAAGGGCAGGGTGTGTTAGAAGGCCTGAAGATAGTAGCAACCCTGCGGAGATACTAATCTTTGTCATTCCTGGTCTCCAGGCAGGAAGCTGCGCTGGGCAATGATAATTCCCAGGCTAATATGCTGTGCTTCCACTTCTTGGATCAACTAAACTATGAGTGTGCCCGCTGCAGCCAGGACCCCGAGTGCTTGTTGTTACAGCATAACTTGCGAAAATTCTATCGGGACATTCAGGTACTTGGAGGAGTGGCAATAACAAAGTGGGAATGGGAGCTTTAGAGTACGGTTTTGGGTATAGAACAGGACCTGGAGGTGCAAAGGGACAGGGGCAGCCCTGGGGAAAGGGGAACAGAGTCTGGATTTGGGGGATCGCTGGCAAAGAGAAGGTCAGTGTTTAGATGAAGCTGTTGGGAAGAGACTAGAGTTTGTGGACCTGTGGTGAGAAAGGGAAGGGCTAGGGGCCCTGAAGGAGGGGAAGTATTGCATCACTGATGGGAATGTTCACTGAAGGCAGTTGAATGGGATCAATGTTCTCTCTTTGCCTCCTGCAGGCCTTACCCCGGGGCCCTATCCAATTGGCTGAGATGATCTTTAATCTCCTTCTGGAAGAAAAGAGAATTCTGATGCAGGCTCAGAGGGCTCAAGTGGTGAGAGCAGTTTGCTGATGATATGAAAAGCCCCTGGAGTGGCGAGGGACCATGGAAAGGACTCAGGAAATTTGTCTCGGAATAAGGTCCCCAAATAGCCTGTCATATAACTTCAGGACTGGATTTTAGGGATAAAAGGTCAGAGTTGAATGTGCTCAGAGCCTCTTATTGCAGGAGCAAGAAGAGCCAGCCCTCGAAACACCTGTGCAGAGCCAGCAGCATGAGATTGAATCCCGGATCCTGGAATTGAAGGCCATGATGGAGGTTGGTAGAAGTGGCAAGAGTCAGGGTGGGCAGGATCGGCCTGCCTCCTCCCACAGAAGCAGCCTCACCTGGTCTCCTCCCCTCTACAGAAGCTGGTGAAGGCCATCAGCCAGCTGAAAGACCTGCAGGATGTCTTCCTCTTCCGATTCAAGGCTCAGGGCCCAGGTAGGAAGCACATTGAGGGGTGGGAGAAGGACAGGTTCCTGCTGGAAGGCCGAGGGTAGGAGAGAGCAGAATGGAAAAGCCCCAGTAAAAAGTAATCACCTTTGGCTACACCTCACGAGCTATAGTTATAGTTCTGCTGCCAGGCAAAGCTACAAGTGCCAGGGTTTGTTGTGGGGGTTGGGCTGGAGGTGTAGCTGAGGGACAGTAGTGAATGCTCGGGGAGTTGCATGGGTAACTGCCTTAGTAGGTAGAGTAGGCTTCTGTTTCAACATGATCACTGAGAATTCGCCTGCAGGCCCAGAGGGATCCGTGCTTTGCTTTGGTTCCCCTTCCTCTCCCGTCAGAATTCCCCCTCCCCAACCCTGACCGAGGCCTAGGTCAGGAAGATGAGGGGAAGGAGCCCTAGGTCTGAGCACTTGTCTCACTTCCTGCTCCTGCCATTCCAGTGAGGACATCTTCTTTGGACCCCCATCAGACCAGACAGCAGCAGGTTCTGCAGGCAACTCTCAATGAACTGGACAGAAAGAGAAAGGTGGGAGGCAAAGAACAGAGGGCGTGGGCAGCAGGGGGCTGGGGAAGATGCGGGACCTGGGAGCCTTGGCCTCTTGGCCTTGGCTTTTTTGTCCCTTTATCCCCAGTTGGATGGTGGAGGATGATGGTGCGAGGTGCTCCACACTCACTTATGTCTTTCTTAGGAGGTGCTGGATGCCTCCAGAGGACTGCTAGGCCGATTAACTACCCTAATTGAGCTACTGCTACCCAATTTGGAGCAATGGAAAGTGCAGCAGCAGAAAACCTGCATTGGAGCCCCCCCAGACGGAGGGTTGGAACTTCTCCAGCTAGAGCAGTGGTGAGAGGCACCTCCCCGCCCTCAGGCTCACCCAGCCCTAGTCCTAGCCACCGCCCTGTGCTTTGTAAGGTCCTGTATAAGGTATTGCTTTCCTACTCTCTGCTCCCCAGAACGATCCCAGCTCCCTTATCTGACTACAACTGTACTCTGCTCTTCATTCTCGATACCCAGAGCCCTTCATTTTTTTTTTTTTATTGCTTAAAGTATTACAAAGGGTATTACACATGTGTCCTTTTTTTTCCCCCTGCCCTTGACAATCCCCTGGCCTCCCCTACCCCCCAATGTCTTATGTCCACTGGTTATGCTTATATGCATGCATACAAGTCCTTCGGTTGATCTCTTACCCCCTCCCTCCTGCCCCCCAACCCTCTCTGGCCTTCCCGCTGCAGTTTGACAATCTGTTTGAGGCAGCTCTGCCTCTGTATCTATTATTGTTCATAAGTTTATAATGGTCTTTATTATCCATGAATGAGTGAGATCATGTGGTATTTTTCCTTCATTGACTGGCTTATTTCACTTAGCATAATGCTCTCCAGTTCCATCCATGCCATTGCAAATGGTAAGAGTTCCTTCTTTTTTACAGAAGCATAGTATTCCATCGTGTAGATGTACCACAGTTTTCTAATCCATTCATCTACTGATGAGCACTTAGGCTGTTTCCAGATCTTAGCTATGGTGAATTGTGCTGCTATGAACATATGGGTGCATATATCCTTTCTGATTGGTGTTTCTGGTTTCTTGGGATATATTCCTAGAAGAGGGATCACAGGGTCAAATGGGAGTTCCATTTTTAGTTTTTTGAGGAAACTCCATACTGTCTTCCATAGTGGCTGCACCAGTCTGCATTCCCACCAGCAGTGCACAAGTGTTCCGTTTTCTCCACATCCTCTCCAGCACTTGTCGTTTGTTGATTTGTTGATGATAGCCAGTCTGACAGGTGTGAGATGGTACCTCATTGTTGTTTTGATTTGCATCTCTCGGATGATTAGTGACTTTGAGCATGTTTTCATATGTCTCTTGGCTTTCTGAATGTCCTCTTTTGAAAGGTGTCTATTTAGGTCCTTTGCCCATTTTTTGATTGGATTGTTTATCTTTCTTTTGTTAAGTTGTATGAGTTCCCTATAAATTTTGGAGATTAGGCCCTTATCAGATATGACATTGGCAAATATGTTTTCCCACGCAATGGGTTTTCTCGTTGTTTTGTTGATGGTTTCTTTTGCTGTGCAGAAGCTTGTTATTTTGATGTAGTCCCATTTGTTCATTTTCTCTTTAGTTTCAAGTGCCCTAGGAGCTCAGAGCTTTTCATTTTTAATCACCTGGGAAATATACTATTATTGTTTGTGCAGTGAACATAATGCAAAAAAAGAGAAAATTACTTATTACCTTACTACCCAGATGTAGCTACTGTAACATTATTAAACAAAAATTGAGCCCTAGCCAGTTTGGCTCAGTTTGAAGAGCGTCAGACTACAGACTGAAGGGTCCCAGGTTTAATCCTGGTCAAGGGCACATGCCTGGGTTGCAGACTTAATCCCCAGTGTGAGGCATGCAGGAGGCAGCCAATCAATGATTCTCTCTCATCATTAATGTTTCTCTCTCCCCTCCCTTCCTCTCTGAAATAAATAAAAAATACATTTTAAAAAATTGAATCATACCATTCATACTATTTTGAGACATGTAAGCTTGTTTTTCTTCTTTTTAACTTAGCAGTATATTATAATATTTACCCACTAGAGACCTGATGCATGAAATTCTTGCTAGAGTAGGCCTTCCTTCTCCCAGCTGCCGTCACCGGCTTCCCTCTGGCACTTGGGACCCAGGTTTCCCTTGCAGCCCCTCACAGCCTCGGCCGGCCCTCTCAGTCCTGGCTTTGTATGGACGGTCAGCCAGAAGGATGTCCAGATGGTCATTCTGCTGTTAGGTCTAATTAGCATATTAGCTCTTTATTATATAGGATGTTACTTTCAATGGCTGCATTATTGTTCTCTATATGGAGGTAACATAATTTAATTAATGAACTATTCTTTTTGGGCATTTAGGTTGTTTTTAATTTCTTGCTATTTTTCTAGTAAACTTTTTATTTTATATTAATTTTTAAAATATATTTTAAAATTTATTTCAGAGAAGAAGGGAAAGGGAGAGAGAGATAGAAACATCAATGATGAGAGAGAATCATTGATCGGCTGTCTCCTGCACACCCCACACTGGAGATCAGGCCTGCAACCTGGGCATGTGCCCTGACCAGGAATCAAACTGGAGACCTCCTGATGCATGGGATAATGCTCAACCAACTGAGCCACACTGGCCTGGCTCAATTTATTTATTTTTAAGTATATTTTTATTGATTTCAGAGAGGAAGGGAGAGAGAGATAAAAACATCAATGAAGAGAGGGAATCATTATCGGCAGCCTCCTACACGCCCACTACTGGGGATCGAGCCCACAACCCGGGCATGTGCCCTTGACTGGAATTGAACCCAGGACTCCCTAGTCCATAGGCCACTGAGCCAAACCAGCTAGGACTCATTGTATTTTTTAAAAAAATTTTTTTTATCTTAGTAGTACATTTATTTGTTTGTGGGTTTTTGTTTTGTTTTTGTCAATCCTCACCTGAGGATATTTTTCCATTGATTTTTTTTTTTAAGAGAGAGTGGGAGAGGGAGAGACAAAAAGAAACATCAGTGTGAGAGAGACATATCGGTGGGTTGTCTCCTGCACCTGAGGCCGGGTATTGAGCCTGCAACTGAGGTACATGCCCTTGACCTGAATCAAACCCATGACCCTTCAATCTGCAGGCCGATGCTCTATCCACTGAGCCAAACTGGCTAGGACAAGAGTACATTTATTAAATCTGGGGACAGTGAAACAAGGAAGGGCCTAGGGATGGAAGAAGCAACAGGAGAGACTGGGCAGGGCTGCTTTGGCTCTAGAAACGTATGGGAACGAAGCGAGCCAAGGCGGAGCTGCTGTTAGCTCACTGGAGAGTCAGAGAAAAGGGGGCCTTGAGGACAGGTTCAGGGGTTAGCCCTGGATGAGCTACCACGGCCTGTTGCTCCCCTGGTTGCAAGTCTCATGGGGTTCCTTAGAGTTTAGGAGATACGTGCCTGTGAGGAAAGAAGACAGGTAAGGGAAAGGAGCCAGCATGCTCCCAGGAATGAGAGCTTGTCTTGTTTCATTGTTTTTTAATAAAAAGAGGTATTGCTTTTTCTGATTACAAATACAGTGTATACCAATTGAAAAAAGTTCAGACAATGTAAAAGAGTAAAGAATGCCCGGCCAGGTGTGGCTCAGCAGTTAAGCACCAACCCAGGAACCAGGAGGTCACCGGTTCAATTCCTGGTCAGGGCACATGCCCAGGTTGTGGGCTCAGTCCCCAGTCAGGGGGCATGCAAGAGGCAGCCAATCAATGATTCTCTCTCATCACTGATGTTTCTACCTCTCTCTCTCTCCCTCCCTCTCTGAAATCAATAAAAACATATTAAACATAATAATAATAATTTAAAAAATAAAAGAGAAAAGAAAGAAATCAACCATCTGTTTAATATAATCATGCAGAAGTAGGTACCGTCTGTTTATGCTTTTGTATACTTTTTCCAGATTTCCCCTATGCCTGTACACAAAAATACATCTATTTTAAGCAGAAGTCAAATCATATCTATACTATCTTGTAATTTTTTAATATTTGTGGACATTTTTCCATGTTAAATATTTGAGCCTATATCATTATATTTAATGGTTGCATAGTATTTCATTACATGTATATGTCATAATTTATATACCTAATAACCAAATGGTTCTAATTTTCTATGACAAATAACAAAGCTATGAATTTCCTGGTACATTTATCTTTGTCCATTTGTCTGATTATTTTCTTAGGATATATCTTAGAAATGGAATACTATAAAATGTATGCACACTTTTTGAGGCTTTTTAAAAAATAGTTTCAAACTATTATCCCAATTTGTTTGCTTATATATAGTATATGATTGTTTTCCTGTCACTACATTGCCTATTATTAGTTTTTTTATAGAGTCAGTAAACTATAGAAGTCAGAAGTATGAACTGTGCAGCCAGACTGCCTTGGATTACATACAATTTTATTCCTTACTAGTTTTATGACCTTGAGCAAGTCGCTTTCACTAAACTTTTCTGTGCCTCAGTTTTATCAGCTGTAAAATGGGGGTAATAATAGTATCTAGTAAATAGGGTGGTTGTAAGGATTAAATGCATTCATGTGTGTAACACACTTAAAATAAATAGTATATATCAAACATTATGTGAAAGTTAGCTTTATTGTGTTCATCTTTTACCAATTTTAATGTGAAAGTGGCTTTGATTTTCATTTCTTGGATTATGAATCATGTTTGATAATCAGTGCTTCCTGGACTCTTTTTTTTTTTTTTGTCCCAATCAGTTTTAATTCTCCACATAGTTAAAGGGGAGCTCTGAGAGCCTGTTTGGGGGCTCCAGGAAACTCATGGATTCTCTCTCCCTTGGGTTCTATCACTCAGGTTCACAGATGGAGCAAAACTAATGTTTCATCTGCGACAGCTGCTGAAGGAACTGAAGGACTTGAGTCAACTGGTTAGCTATGAGAATGACCCTCTGATCTCAGGGGTGGGCCTGCAGGAGGCCCAGGTCACAGAATTGCTACAACATCTGCTCCACAGGTTTGGAGGCCACGGAGGGACGTCTAGGGAGGGAAGGAGCAGGGGAGCCACTGTTACAGATGCTGAGCTCTATAGTCTCTCCACTTCTCTCTGCCCAGAGCCTTTGTGGTAGAAACTCAGCCTTGCATGCCTCAGACTCCCCATCGACCCCTCATCCTCAGGACTGGGAGCAAGTTCACTGTCCGAACAAGGTGGGCATTTCAGAATTCATTCCTGATTCCTTTTTCCAGACCTGGCACTGTTCGCTTTCTGGCTTTAAAGATCTTCCCACTCTTGGCTGTTCCTTCTCTCCCCCCGCCGCCCGCTCAATCAATCTACCTCTTCTAATCTCCTCCCTTATCTTTTCCAAACATCTGGTCTATTTGGAAGTTGAGGTTGACCACTTTCTCCATCCACCTCTCTCCTCCCCAGGCTGCTGGTGAGGCTCCAGGAAGGCAGCGAGTCACTGACTGCAGAAGTCTTTATTGACAAGTAAGTTGGAGCAGGTGAAAGGTGGGACCCAAGAGTGGCCAGGTTGCGGGCTGACGGGGGGCGTAGGGAGGGTGGGGGCGGGCAGAGAAGACACCTCCTTTTCCCGAAGGCTCCGGGGCTGTGTTCTTCCCCCTCCACTCCTGCCTCAGAGAAATGACAATTCATCCCTTTTGTTGAGCACCTGCCATGTGACATGCAGCTTGTCAGACATTCATTTAATAGTCTGGAAACCCTGTGCGTTAGCTGTTATCCGTGCACCATTCAGACGAGAAAACAAGCTCAGTGAGATGATGGGTCTTGAAGGCCACATAACTAGTGAGCTGCAGACTTGGGTTTGAACTTAGGTCTGTCTGATCCCAAAGACCACATTCCTAATTTCTATGCTGTTTTGCTTCCCAGTGACTTTATTTTATTTTATTTCTTTTCAGGGATCCTCCTCAATCACAAGGGTAGGTACCTGACAAAAAAGCTGCAAACCTTTGTGCATTGCGTGAGCTGCACAACCACATGTGGCAGCCCCGAGGGGGGCACAGACGGGAGAAGGCTGATGTGGGTGGCACATACGCAGAGGGAGATGGAGAGGCCTGAAATGAAATGGAGCTTGGTTGTCTTCCTGCTGAATTTTAGAATAACTCTGTCCCTGTCCTTCATATGTTTTCTTCCTCCTGGAATAGCTTCCGGAAGTTCAACATTCTGACCTCAACCCAGAAAACTTTGACCCCCGAGAAAGGGCAGAGTCAGGGCTTAATCTGGGACTTCGGCTATCTGGTAAGAGGCTAGTAGCTTCTGTTTCTAATCCAATGGAACAGGCGGGAGCAAGTGCCCAGGCCTTGGGAAGTCTTGTGGGCAAAACGGGTTCCAGGGATGCTGGGTCCCTCCTCTGGCATTCTCTCTCCTTCCCCTCAATTCACAGACTCTGTTGGAGCAACGCTCGGGTGGTTCAGGAAAGGGCAGCAATAAGGTGAGGCCTGGACAGAGGGCTGGGGGCAGGAGGGACATGCCCCAGGGCCCTCTGCTCACGGCTGTGGCTGTCCCAGGGTCTGCTGGGTGTGACCGAGGAACTGCACGTCATCAGCTTCACGGTCAGATACACCTACCAGGGACTGAAGCAGGAACTGAAAGTGAGTGAAGACAGAGGCGGGCGAGCTGGAGCAGGTTGGGGGAGGGCACAGGAGGGGTTAACAGAAGCCTCTCCGGTGAAATATTGCCCCTGGCCCCGCCCAAACGTCTGCAGCTGGAATCCTCACAGCCTCGCTGTGACTCCTGTCTTCTCCCAGGCAGACACCCTCCCTGTGGTGATTATTTCTAACATGAATCAACTCTCCATCGCCTGGGCCTCGATTCTCTGGTTCAGTCTGCTCAGCTCAAACCCTCAGGTAGGAGAAGGGTGGTGAGGAGGGGTGGCAGCTTGGTGTGAGGGTGCTGCTGAGCCACCCTGCCCTCTTCCCATACCTGCAGAATCAGCAGTTCTTCTCCAGCCCCCCAAAGGCCCCCTGGACCTTACTGGGCCCGGCCCTCAGTTGGCAGTTCTCCTCCTACGTTGGCCGAGGCCTCGACCAGGACCAGCTGAGCATGCTGAAGGACAAGCTGTTTGGTACGGACCTCCTTTCCGGTCAGCCCCGGCCCTCTGTCCTCTCCACCCCAGGAGCCCTGGCCTTGCCTCCTCCCACCAGCTAACGGGCTTTCTGTCCACAGGACAGAACTCGGGGAATGAGGGTGCGCTGTTGTCCTGGGCCGACTTCACTAAGGTAACACCCTCCTCCTGGGCAGCCAGATCCCAGCCCCAATCCAAACCCCGCCCGCCCCCAACACTCCGTCCCCACCCGAGGGCCACTCCACATCTCCCTGCTTTTCCACTCCTCCTTCAGCGAGAGAGCCCGCCTGGGAAGCTACCATTCTGGACATGGTTAGACAAAATTCTGGACCTGGTACATGAGCACCTGAAGGATCTCTGGAATGACGGGTAAGACCTCGGTCAGCCTCCCTCTCCCTGGACCCGCTGCCTCTCTGGGCTTGAGTGGGCTCTGTGCGCCCTCATGTGGCAAATAGGGAGAGAGCAAAAACTGGGCCCGGGTCACACCCCCTCCCCTTCGCAATGACAGCGAGAGCCGGTGTTTGTCAAGCAGCTGTTGTGATCCAGAGCCTGCTGGGTGCGTTCATGAATTCTCTCGTGTAACCTCACAGCCACGCCGAGTGCGGGGTGTTGCCCCCTCGTGTCCGGTGAGGAAACGAAGGCTTCGAGAAAGTAAAGGGGCTGAGTCAGGAGTCAAAGCCGGGCCTGAGCCCACGCCTGTGCGCTCCCACCACACTGCCCGCCCCTTTGCACGGCACGCTGCTTTTACAAGGTGTCTTTCATCGGCATGGCCTCCTGAATCCTCACACCTCTTCCAACCCTGGAGGTGGATGTTGTCCGCGCGAAGTGACGTGGCCGCAGGGGAACAGTCTGTAGTGGCAGCGCCAGGGCAGAAAGCTGGCGCCCTCCCCCTCCCCACGGAAGCGGCGGCAGGAGCGCCGCTCAGCTGCTTTCTCTGCTCCAGGCGCATCATGGGGTTTGTGAGCCGGAGCCAGGAGCGCAGGCTGCTGAAGAAGACCGTCTCTGGTACCTTCCTACTGCGCTTCAGCGAGACCTCCGAAGGCGGCATTACCTGCTCCTGGGTGGAACACCAGGATGATGGTCAGCTGCCCCGCCCTGCTGCTCCCACAGCCGCTCCTTCCTGCCCCGCTGCCCGTGCCCGGCTCCCCCGGCTCCGTCCCGAACCCCTCAGCAGGTCCGGGGGTGGGCCGGCAGAGTGGGGCGCCCAGGCCCGGCCTCCTCTCTCAAGCCTGCCTGTTCCACTCTCCACGGCCCAGATAAGGTGCTCATCCACTCTGTGAAGCCCTTCACCAAGGAGGTGCTGCAGTCGCTCCCGCTGACCAAAATCATCCGCCACTACCAGCTGCTCACCGAGGAGAACATACCCGAGAACCCCCTGCGCTTCCTCTACCCCCGCACCCCCCGGGATGAAGCTTTCGGGTGCTACTACGAGGACAAAGGTGAGAGTCGCTGACTGACTGCACTGGGAGACCGCAGGCGTCCACCAGGCCAGCGCCTTCCTTACCGACATGCAGAGCAGGGAAGGGATTTGTCCGTGGGACACTGCTAATTAGTAAGGAGATGTGACTGCCAGGACGTCGGTCTGGATCTCATACTAACCTCCCCGCCTCTGTGTGCGTCCCCGACAGTTAACCTCGAGGAGCAAAGGAAGTACCTGACACGGAAGCTCATCGTGGTCTCCAACAGGTGAGATGGGAACCCTGCGCCACCCCCCCACCCCCGCACCCCACCCCCGCACCCCACCCCCCAACCCTTTCTGCCGACATAGTCAACAGCCTGTCCACGTCCAGTCTCCCTGGCCTTCTCTCCTCCTCGCCGCGCTCTCCAGTCCTCTAGGTTTTTCCTGCTCTTCTACTCTCTCTCTTCCCTATTTTCCTGCTGCCATCCCTCAGCTGTCTCCACAGAGGTTCCCTGATAATAACAGTCATAAGCCCTGATGTTAATGGACATCTGATTGATGCCAAACATGGTACTAGATACTTTTATAACATTTTTAAAAAGTTAGTCCTGCCCTAGCCAGTTTGGCTCAGTGGATAGAGCATCGGCCTGCAGAACGAAGGGTCCCGGGTTCAATTCCAGTCAAGGGCACATGCCTGGGTTGTGGGCTCGGTCCAATGTGCAGGAGGTAGCCAATCAATGATTCCCTCTCATTATTGTTTCTATCTCTCTCTTCCTCTCTGAAATCAATAAAAATATATTTTTTAAAAATTAATCATTATGAGAATTCATATGAGTAGGTAATAGGAACAGGAATATTTAATGAAAGTTTACTATATACAAGGCACTGGGCTAAAACTTTGTGCTCATTTTCTCACTTATTGAATTTTCATAAAAGTCCTGTGGGGCAGACATTTATTACTGTCGCCAGCTGAGGAAACGGGTTTAGCATAGTGAAGTGGCATGCTCAAGGTCCATGGCTACAAAAGGATCCAGGTCTGTCAGATTCCAAAGCCCTGCTTTTAACCAGCCTCCTGCCTCTCAAATATTATTAGGTATTGTTGTTCCCATTTTACAGATGATAAATCTGAGGCTCAGAGATGTTAGTTAACTTGCCTAAGGTCACCCAGCTAGTAAATGATAGGATTCAAACTCTGGTAAGCCTGACTGATAGGATTCAGACTCTGCAAAGCCTGTGTCCTTTGTTTGTAATTAATTTTAGAGAGAGCTAGGACGGGAGAGAGAAAGAAGAAAAAAAACAAAACAGAGAAACATGGATTAGTTGTTCCACTTATTTATGCATTCACTGGTTGACTCTTGTATATGCCCCGATCAGGGATTTGAACCTGCAGCCTTGGCATATCGGGATGACGCTCTAACCAAGTTACCTGGCCAGGGCAGAGAAAAGACTGTGCTAAGAGCCCTCTGCTCCTTTACCTTCTTAGATTAGAGAAGTAGTCTCTGCTTGCTCTACCATTCCGACCTCACCTAAACTGCTAAGTACTCCCCTTTGTCTGTATTGGGGTATCCAGACAGGTGGATGAGCTGCAACAACCGCTGGAGCTTAATCTGGAGCCAGAAGTAGAGCCATTAGACCTGCCCCCGGGCGTAGCACCAGGGCAAGAGCTAGGACTAGACCCGGAGTTGGAGCCACTGCTAAAGGCAGGGCTGGATCTGGGGCCTGCGCTGGAGCCACTGGAGCCCGAGCTGGAGCTGGAGCCCACACTGGACCTGGGATCAGAACTGAAGCTGGAGCCTCTTCTAGAGCCTGTTTCACAGCCCGTGCCAGAGCCAGAGCCAGAGCCAGATTTGCCCCATGATCTGAGACACCTGAACATTGAGGAGATGGAAAGTAAGTGATGAGATGGGTCTGGACACGCCAACCCCTGCCCTACCTAATCTCAGGCCTTGCCCAGGCCTCTGCTACCGTCTCCCTCACTGTCCTTGCGGGCTGGGAACTCCTTACCTAAGATCAGGACCTCACTTCTTTCTCTGGGCTACCCAGTCTTCAGAAACAACATGAAGATTGAAGAAATCATGCCAAACGGAGACCCACTGTTAGCTGGCCAGAACACCGTGGATGAGGCGTACAACTTCCCCCAGAGCCATTTCTTCACGGATGGGCCCTTGACTCCTGACTACTAGGACTATGTTTCCTCTGCTCTTTCCATATCTTTTACCCCATATCATCCCCGCATCCTGGTGTTGCTCTCCCAGGATGGGAAATCAGGCATGTGCCTCTTCTAAGCTGGGTTAACGGCCTGATTTGAAGTGAGAGGGACATGTGAGCCAGAACAGATGTTGGCCATGGCTCTAACTAGGATCCTGGAGGCTGCCTGCTGTGCTTGGAGGGGTAGCGGTTTTAGGAACAGGCCAGGACAGTTAGGAGGAACTTGGAGGGCTCAGAGAAGTTGCTCCTTTCCAGTATGGAAGAATTTCAACTTTTTAATAGCGGGTAAGGCTAACCTGGCGCCCACCAGCGTTGGCCCTCAGTGGGGAACTGACACATGGCAGGACTCCATTTCTCCCTCATGCCCAGGATGACCTTCTCCTTTCTTCCTCCCCTCACTCTTGTCGTAAATTTCCTCTTTTCCTACAGGGACTGAGAGCTTTCTGCCTCAGCCACACTGGGAAGCTCCCCTCTGAAGAGGAAGTAGGAGGTAGACCTCCTCTTCTTACTGATCTCCCTCCGACCCCTCCTTACCCCCGCTCCCACCCCACACACACACACACACACACCAGAGCCAGGGCTGGGCCTGGAGTTAGAGCCACTGCTAAAGGCAGGGCAGGACCTGGAGCCTGTAGCAGTGGCTACATCCATTCCTCCCCTGGAAACCGATCCTACCAGCCTAATGTGCCTGTGAAGCTTTGCACAATAACTAATGCTGCCTAGTCTCCACTTTCCCAATGCTTAGGAGACCAGGGATGTTCGCTAGCTGGGAACTCAGGAACTGCTTTTTATAGTATAGATTGGTACATTTACAGAGAAAGAGAAGCCCTGGGCCTTAGATATTTCTCTTAAGACGTCATCCCTTTCTTTTGTGCAATATATTGTTTACCTGAAAAGACTGTTTCTATTCCTTGGGCATGGACCTGGGCAGAGATCACGTTCCTGGAACTTAGGACCTTGAAGGTTTTTCATGAGCTCTGGACAACCTCCCACCTTAGCCATTCCCAGGAAACCCCGGGACAACTGCCATTGCTCTAAGATGTGCTTCTAGTAAACCTGAGATGCAAATGAAAGTGAGGCCTTCTACATGCGGCTATTTCCTGCCTGGTATGTGAGAGCAGCGGCTTTCAACCTTTTTCATCTCATAGCACATAGAAACTAATTACTAAAATTTTGCAGCACACCAAAAAACAAATGTTCTGGCCGATCTGACAGAAAAATAGGTGTAATTTTGATTCATTCATACAGGATGGCTATTGTGTTGGTTGTTGTTATTTTTTTATTTGACAGTCTAAGGGAAAAGAGGTCAGTGCTCCTGAATAAAGTTAGGTGTTGTATGTTTAAAAAATTTGGGGGACACTGGTTGAAAATCATGTGTTAGAGGAACAGTACTATTGAGAAAGAGTCCCATCTGAGCGGAAGTGGCTAATAAACTCTGTGCTGACCTAGAAACGTTTCCTCTTTGATCTTCTTTCTTTCCCTTCTCACAAAGACGAATGTTCTTGAAAACACCAATAGGCCATGGAGGGCCAAGGTCAGCAAAGCATGGCATGTCTTCCACCCACCCCAGGATGCCCCTCTGGTCATGTTTCTTCTTCTTACCTCCCTGTTTGGAGCAACCTTTCCTGACCCATAGATTCTTCCGGGGGAAGTAAGCTGTGTATGAGTGTGTGTCAGGGAGGGGGTGTTAGTTATGGAATTAGCCCCTTGTTCCTCAGCAGGTTGGTGCCAAAGCCAAATTTCAAACCTGGGTCTGTCTGACTCCAAAGCCCATGTTTCTTGTTGATATTGTGAAGATGGAGAAAGGAGAAATAATCACTAGAACATTTCCATACTTCCTTTCAAAGGTAGTTTAACTCCCTCGGGGTAATCAAACTCCCTTCTGAAGGGGCCCACAGATAGCCATTGAGGGAGAATCCCATTCGTTTGGGGGATTTACCTTTATCTTCCTGGAATGCCCTTTCTGCTCAAACAGCTCTGACTTTGGATCCTGCAGTGATCGGGATTCCCATCTTTGGCTAAATACACTCTTGGCCAAGAAAGCAGAGAAGGAGGCACTGGGTCAGGGAGCAAGAGAGGTGTCCCGTTTCCTAATCTCGTCCCCTTGTCATCCCTTTAATCTTGCTTAGCCACGCAGGGATTAAGACCAAAAAGATCCCAGTTACTCTATACACCAGGGGGTCAAAAGGAAATACCCTCTCCACCATAGCCCCGGAGTAGAAGAAGGTTGCATATTATAGTCCCTCATCCCTGTTTTTTCATTTGTTTTCTTTTCCCCAACCAAACCTAGAAATTAGACTTAAATATCCATATAAATAAGTTTATTGAAAAAAGTAAATAAGTCAGTATAAATATAATAAATAATCCTCCCCCTCAAACTGCTGCCAATAGAATAAATAATCCCAAAATTTCCCTTCCCCTCTAATAAATACTCAACATGTCCTGGGTCCGCATCATAAACCCGCCAGTACTGGTAATTTTTTCAACACAGGCAGGTCCCATTAGAATTAATGACTGAGTCACTTGTTGGCTCACAGGTGCCTCAGCCGATAGGTTCGTCTTAGCCGTGAAGATCTGGAGGCCATCCTTAAGCTGTTGGTTTTAGGGGCTCAGGGTTGCTGCTCCATGGGCAAAGACCCGGGCAGCCACAGCCACAAAGGCCTGGAGGCTGCGCAGGATCTTAGGGCGGAGGAGGAGCCGCTGCCATGGTTGGCTGGGACTGAGGCTTGGAGTCTGCTCAGCCGCCCAATGGTGCCCCTCAGTCTGAAAGGACACAGGACACAGTGAGAGAGGGTTCTAGGTCCTTCACCACCACCACCACCACCACCCTCGTCTGCCAGAGACCACAGGCTGCCGTGCTCCAGCCCCTAACGCATACCTGCAAGAGTTGCCTGAGACCCAGTAGAGAGGCGTGAAGCTGGCTCACGGGGCCATCGGGGAGCAGGGAAGGCTCCCCTGTGAAAATGTCTGAGCCCAGCAGCTTCTCGTAAAAAACCAGGCCCTGGTGGATCCTTTGCAAGCAAGACTGGGAAGAAAAAGCAGTGAAAGAAAATGAGACCCTCTCCCTAGTCCATTCCCCAAACACCCCTCCAGTTCTTTGCCTTTCCTAGACCCAGCTGTGAAGATCCTAACCCCTAATGTGATGGTATTAGGAGGTGGGAGGTGAGTATGTCATGAGGATGGAGCCCTCAGGAATGGCACTGGAGTTTATAAAAGAGACCCAGGGTGCTGCCTCGCCACTTCTGAGGTACGATCTGGAAGAGGGCCCTCGCCCAACCATGCTGCTACCCTAATCTCCGTGGGTGTGGACCCAGTGACTTTATTTTTCACAGCCTCCAGAACTGTGGAGAGATTTCCGTCCTTTATAAACTGCCCAGTCCACGGTATGTTGTCACCGCAGCCTGAATGGACAAGGACAGATGTGACTTTTACTAATTCACCGTGGCGCCCAGATATGTCTCCATTCCCTTCCTTGTGGCCCAGCCTCATCTTAGCACCTGGCTGTTGTCCCGGAGTCCTTGGGGGTCACAGCCGTCCTCACACTGGATGTGGGGAACATCATTTGTCGTCTCATCTTCCTCTTCTCCTACTTCTCTTGGTAGATCCTGGAATGGAGCAGAAGCATAAAGTAAGCACTTTCACACCCCATGTGGACTCAGGCCCATGACTCTCCCAGGAGCCCCACTTCCCTGTCCTCCAGCTCCCACCCAGGCCACAGAGTCCCCCCGTCCTGCAGCCTTGGAGAGCACGGAGAGGCTCCTGCTTAGGCCCGGAGGGTGCCACTCACCACATGTCCCGTTGGCGGGTGTGCACTCCAGGCCAGTGTGCAGAGTCTCTGTGAGAGCTGCTGGCACCGAGCCCAGGCAGGGCTGCTGCCTTTAGGCACGGCCCGGCCCTGAGTGGTCCAGCATGTCAGCAGCAGCAGCAGCAGCAGCATCATGGCTCTGCTCCCCAGCATCTTGGTGCTTCTCAAATCTGGCGGCCTTGCCCCAGTCCTTGTGGAATCTCTGCCCACTTCCCCCTGTTCAGAGCCCGATTCTCTCTGTTCTGTGCGTCTCTGGTTTGGCTTCCTCTGTTCACTGAGGTTCTCCGCTGCTTCCCTTATTTTTCTCTCCTTGTCTGAGTCCCTTTTTAAGGTCCCTGCATTGTAACACCCGCCCTTTATACTAGCAGGTGACTCACAGCAGGTGGGATTCCCCTCCCTGCATCATCCCCGCTGTGGGGAGCCCAGGTAAGCAGCCTCAGCTCCAGGGGAAATGACTCGTGCGGTTGCTGTGGCTGGAGGCCTGGGATAGGACATATGTGTAATGCTCTCCAGGAATTGAAATGGCTCCAGAAGGGGTGGGGTGGAGTAATGAATATTTAAATGAATCTAATCTCAAATTCCTTCCTGTTTAACCTTTTCCTCATCTTTCTGCCTCTCAAAACTACACCCCCCCCCCAATGTCCTTACCTCCCCTTGCCTAAGGAAAAATCAAAACATAAGCATTCATTTATTTCCCAATAAAATGGCAATGAAGTTTAGTTCCCACCAGATACCCTCTGAAGATAAGAAGGCTTCTTTTTCTTCATTGGTAACAGTGTCGTTCTCACTGAGAGAGAATGGACATGAAGGCACTTTGAGAACTGGGCAGCCACATACTGCTATATAAAGCGTTACGGCTCCCCCACTTCCGGCCTCACTGTGGAGGGTAGGAGGACTGTTGGAGGGAGGGAATTGTGGTTAAGAACCATCTGATTCTTCAACCTTAGTGGCCCAAAGGGTCATGGGCCCTGTGGGATGCAAGTGATGGTTCTTTTGAGACGACACCAGTGTAAGCAAGGGCTAGAAGTCCAGCTTAGATATTCCAGCCCCTCCACCATGGCTAAGAAGTCTAGGAGTTCTGGATAGCTGAGGGCGCATAGTTCAGTGACCCCGGCCAGTCCTTCAGCCTGTTGCATCCATGGGTAAAATCCGCTGACACTGATTTCATCACCCTCCCTGATGCAACATCAGTGAAACAGCTAAGAGTGTGAGGTTAGGCGTGGGAGCGGAGGGTGGTTCAAATGTGGGGCTGCCCCCACCCTAAGTGGAGGGTCCCAGGACAATTTGGATGTCAGAATGAGGCCATGGGTGACCACACTGATGGCTCCCAAAGCCTCCCCCAGAGGTTGATCCTTTTTCTCTGAGAAACTTACCCTGGACAGAGGTCTCCCTTAGAATTAGTCAAAACTGCCCAGTGAAACTTCTGATTCAAATATGACTCTCTGGTAAATCCATCCTTTGGATAAAACATGTTCAGCATCAGGGATGTTACCTCAGTTTGAGAAATGGTTTGCCGCTGCCCACATACAGTGGATACTCACAGAATCAGGAAGTTGGTGATGGCAGTGGAACTCACCTCACTTTAATATAAGTTGTCCTATGATGTTTCCACCTCTGATTCCCATTCTGAGAGCCCTACAAGATAGGAGATGAAAGGTGAAAAGGAGGAGGAGGAAGTGGAACTCTGGGGGAGGAGATGACAAGGGCAAGGGTTGAGCTGGAGACATGTAGGAAGCAAGATTGGTGGGGCAATTGTGGGACGGTTGTGTGGCAGGAACTACTTCCGGGACTAGATCTGACCTGGAGCTTAAGGAGTCCCTGACGTCAGCAGGGCTTTAACTGTTATGCAAATCACATTCACAAGACGCCGGAGTAGGCCTTTCCAGCTGGATGATCAGGCTCCAAATCCAGTTGAAGTTCCCCCGGGGAGTTAATAATGATAGCTAATATACAAAAGTAGGTTTACAGAGGCTCATATGGAAAACTGACACAATAATTAATAAATAATACAAGAGTAAACTGCTTTTGTATACTTAAAACTGTACACCTACTTTTGCCCCACCCTGTGTATCACCTCTCACTTTATGCCGAGTGCAGTGGAACCTCGGTTCTCAAATTCATTCTGGAAGGCTGCTCAAGAAGCAATTTGTTAAAAATCCAAGTCATTTTTCCCTTTAGAAATCATGTAAATTGAATTAATCCGTTCCAGACCCCTAAAAACAAAAAAGAAAGAAAATATTCACAGCACAATTTCCTGAGACGTTAGCTCGAGGTTTAGCAGTAAACTGACTCAGACTTGAGCATTCTCTCCTGAGACATGTGACTGATCATACAAGTATCAGCATGAAGGGATGGGGGGGTGGGTGTGTGTGGAGAACCGAAGTTTTGTTCAACAACCAAGATATTTTTTCCATGAACAACTTGGTTGAGAACCAATTTGTTCAAGATAGGAGACGTTGGAGAACAAACTTTCTCTAACATCTTCAATCTTGATTTTCTTGAACAACTTTTTTTTCTTTTATTAATTTCAGAGAGGGAGAGGGAGAGAGAGATAAAAACATCAATGATGAGAGAGAATCATTGATCAGCTACCTCCTGCACGCCCCCTACTGGGGATCGAGCCCACAATCTGGGCATGTGCCCTTGA